TATAAACTCATATAAATGCTTTCTGTGCACTCTTCAAGCATAAATCAAGCAGCTTGCCAAGAAGTGTGATCTTTAAAAAATATGTGACAAGCAAACATTCAGCAGGTGATGTTCCCCCTGGTGTGCAAATATAATAATGGCAGTAAAGCTACAGCAACATAAGAGCTATGCCCTTATGAAAAAAGTTGATCGGATAATCAATCAACTGCAAATATTTATTTATTTATTTATTTCAATATATATGGCCGTCCACTCACAACATAACTCTAGGCAGCAAACAAGAATTAAAATAAACAAAAATGACATCAACACAAACTAAAAGAAAGAAAAATCAGAAAGTCCAGTTGCCTCTTGAAAAAGCACCTTTGGGACAAACTAAAAAACACCACCCCTGGAATGGTGCACATCAGGGGTGGGTTCTAAATTTTTTTACTACCGGTTCTGTGGGCGTGGCTTATTTTGTGGGCGTGGTTTGATGGTCATGTGACAATTCTTTAGGATTTAGCAGAGGTACTGGTCTACCAGGCTTTTAACTGCTTGCAGAGCTGTACCGGTGAACCCATTTGTTCTTGGAGCGTTCCAGTCTACTCATTTGTTTTTGGAGGCACTGGTCCACCACCACACTGCCTTTTAACATTGATCAGCTGTAGGGCGGCCCTTTGAAGATCTGCGGCAAGAGTTTAAACAATTTTTTTCCTTCTAGCCCAGTGGTTCTCAACCTTCCTAATGCCGCGACCCTTTAATACAGTTCCTCATGTTGTGGTGACCCCAACCAGGGGTGGGTTCTAAAATGTTTTTACTACGGGTTCTGTAGGTGTGGCTTATTTTGTGGGCGTGGCTTGGAGGTCATGTGACTGGGTGGGCATGGCTAGCTGGTCATGTGATCAGGTGGCCATGGGTATGTGTATACTATAGGGACTAGTCAGAGGGCTGAAAAAAGGCATTTTTGACAGGTCCTCGCACTTTTGACTGGTCCTCACACTTATTACCATCCTCACATTTATGCCCGTGCAGCATTCTTAACAACCATGTCACTCATTTCACAACTGCTTCTCTTCACCATGGTGATAAGATAGGGCAAAAAACATAAAATGTGAGGACAGTCGTAAATTCGAGGACTGGTCAAAAGTGCGAGGACCAGTCAAAAATAATTTTTTCAGCCCTCTGAGTAGTCCATGTGCACAAAAGGACTACCCAGAGGGCTGAAAAACTGATTTCTGACAGGTCCTCGCACTTTTGACCGGTCTTCGCACTTATGACTGGTCATCATTTATGCCCATTGTAGCATTCTTAACAATCATGTCACTCATTTCACAACTGCTTCTCTTCACCATGGTGACAAGATAGGGCAAAAACGTAAAATGTGAGGACAGTCGTAAGTTCAAGGACTGGTCAAAAGTGCAAGGACCAGTCAAAAATAACTTTTTCAGCCCTCTGAGTAGGCCATGTGCATAAAAGGAAACAGCAATAGAGAGGGATGAAGGAAGGGAAGGGAAATTAGAGTAGGAGTGAGGGTAAGAGAGGGAGGAAGAGAGGAGGAGAAGGAGAAAGGAAGAGGAAGTAGGGAGGAGAAGAAGAGGGAGGAAGAGAAAGTAAGAAAGAAAGAAAAGAGAGAGGTGGTAGGTTTGAGGAGAAAGATTGCTGTACATTAAAAAAGTTGAAAGGGAAGAAAACCAACCCCAAACAAATATAAAGATATTAAGATAAAGAATGAATTGTTAAACTTTAAAGAATAAAAGAGAACAAATATGAATAAATAGCAATAATTAGAAACACACATACAAACATACAATGTATTTTCTTTGAACAGAGTATTTGGCCGGTTTACAAATTTAAACAGTGTTTAGTCATTTCAATTAAATTTACAATTTCTATATTTCCTTTTTGCCATATTTATTCCTCATCTATTTTTTAAAAAAACCAATATTACCCTTCATCCTCACCTCTAATCTTAATCAAATTCAATTTTTCCCTTCTATTCTATATTATACCCCTTCCCATTGTCATCTATTTTTATATCCATCCTCACATTGGTTAATTATGTAATTATGTAATACAGTTGTTTAATACAAATTCAACATTTTAATATAAATCAATTAGTTATATAACTATCTTTTTATATATTAATCAATATGAACATGAATATTCCAATTATTTCCATGCAATCCAATTTCTTACAAATTAATTAATTATATTTACCAATAATAATAAACCAAATAATTTCCCCTATATATTCCTCCAAACCACAACTTAACCATTTCTGCTTTCAACACAATATACAATTAATAGTATCTCAATTATTACAATTCCCTAGTTAAATTGAGCTTTTTTTCTTTTGTGTTTTAAAATCTTGAACCTCCTCTTTTGCCCTAAATTTCCCATTGTTTGCAGTTTTGCACCTACCTTTTTTGATGAAGAAAAAGAAAAAGAAATCTCTCTCTGCCTCATTTTGTCACCTTGCATCAAAGACCCAGCTTTACTTTCAGTTTCGCTTTTTCAGCATAGCTAGGGGAAAAAAACATCTGCTACAGCAATTTACCTCTTTGCAGCTAACTAGCAACAGAGCCCTCTGCAAAACAGCTGAGAGTAAATCAGCTGAGAGTCGGGAGGCTGATCAAATCAACTTATGGTAATTAACCTATGCTGAAGCTGAAAGGGCTGTTTTTTCTATTTTTGCAGGCACCAGTCTACTCATTTGTTTTCTTTTAACACTGATCAGCTGTAGGGCGGCCTTTTGAAGCCCCATGGCAAGAATTTAAACAGTTTTTTTCCCTCTAGCCATCAGCTAGGACTCAGCAATAGATTGGGAGTGGGCAGGGTAAGCAAACGGGGACCAGTGATCCAACAGAGGCAGAGGGTGAGGGTGAGTGAAAACCGTATATTCCCTTCCCATTCTCCCGCCGTTCCCTAGCTTGTCCTGCATTCTTTCCAAAAATCTGGACTTTTTTAAAACGCCGCGGGAGGCGGGACATTGTTAAAAATCGGGACTGTCCCGCCAAAAGCGGGACGTCTGGTCACGTTGCACGTAGGGATAATTTTTACTGTAGTTTTGAAATAATTAAATGCGGGAGAAGGCAGTAATTCAGATATACAGCTAGTCCTTGATTAATGACCATAGTTTGCACCAGAATTTCTACTGCTAAGCAATGGGGTTGTTAAAGTGAGTCGTGCCCGATATTGCAACTTTTTTGTGCTGTGGTTGTTAAGCAAATCACTGCAGTTGTTAAGTGAATCTAACTTCCCCCATTGACTTTGCTTGTCGGAGGCCAGCTGGGACGGTTGCAAATGGTAATGACCCTGGGACACTCCAACCGATATTCATGCTGGTTACCAAGTGCTTGAATTTTGATCACCGACCCCGGGGATGTTACGACAGTCTTAAGTGTGAGGAATGGTCATAAGTCACTTTTTTCAATGCCATTGTAACTCAGAACCATCACTAAACAAATGGTTGTAAATCAAGGACTAACTGCAGGGTCCAATTGAGTCCTTAGAAGATTAATGTATTCAGGAATCAGCTGATCAGGATGGGTCTGTGAATGTATATAGTTTATCTGGTTATATCAGAATAGAGCTCGAAGGGATCTTGGAGATCTTCTGGTCCAGCCCCCTCCTCAAGCAGGAGAACTTATACTATTTCAGACAAATGATTGTCCAATCTCTTCTTAAAAACCTCCAGTGATGAAGCACCTACAACTTCTGACAGCAAGCTATTTCACTGGTTAATTGTCCTCATTATTAGGAAGTTTCTCTTTAATTCTCCTTGATTAGTTTCCATCCATTGTTTCTTGTCCTGCCTCCTGATGTTTTGGAAAATAAGTTGACCCCCTTTTCTTTGTGGCAGCCCCTCAAATACTAGAATACTGCTATCATGTCCCCCTAATTCTTCTTTTCTCTAGACTAACCAACCCCAAATCCTGCAGCCATTCTTCATATGTTTTAGACTCCAGGCCTTTAATCGTCTTAGTTGCTCTTCTCTAAACTTTTTCCAAAGTCTCAACATCTTTTTTGTAGTATGGTGATCAAAATTGGCTGCAGTATTCCAAGTGTGGCCTTACTAAGACTTTATAAAGCAGTACTAATATTTCAGGTGATTTTAATATACAACTTGTGGTAAAAGTATTTGATAGCTCAAGGAAGATATGTCCTTTCTCTGAGTCATACTTTCTTACTATAATTCAACCTTCTCAATATCCCCTAAATCTGTTGGGATGGCTGTTGTCATTAGTTATTCTCACCATTTTTTTCAGGAAGATCAGCATTTTGTATCTGCTTCCATTGCAACCGCTGTGTCCTCATATTAATTTTGTGAGGTAGGTTAAGTGTAGATAGTCAGCAACCTGTAATTATCTAATAAACCTTGTGACGGAGTGGTGATTTGAACCTGGTCTTGACCTGAACTTAGGTAAACCTGTTAACTCTGTCACCATAATAGTGGCTCACTGGAATACTGTACAGGAAGTCCTTGTTTAGCAACTACAACTGAGATCAGCAACTCAGTCAGTAAGCTAAGCGGCCTTTAATTAAATCAGCAAATGTGCTTATTCTCTTTTTTCTGTTCTCCTTTGCTTTATAGGTCTGTGTGAATGTCATAAATGAGAGGATTGGTCACAAAGTTACATTTTTTTTATCATCATCATAACTGTGAATGGTTGCTATATGAGACATTCGCTAAATGAGGACTATCTGTACTGTACTATATCCCCTAATTTCTAGATTAGAAGGATCTGGAAGACTCTCTCAGAAGAATTTTATAGTGTCTTTCCTAGATTTGAATTAATGGCCTTTTTAAAAAAAAATTAGAAACCACCATATTTTAGATGCCTTTGAAGTCAGAGTAGGCAAGATACTACTACATCCTAAATCTCTTTTCAAATTCATTTATTTTCAGTTCTTATTCTCATAATAAGAGTTTTTTTGTGGTTGAGATGATGCGAGTTTGTATCTACCTAATATATAAAGTAATAAATACAAGCTTAATTGAAAAACCACAACAAACATTTTATGGATATTACTGAGTTTATTTAATATTGTGCAAAATTAGACTCACAACATTCAAGACCGGAAGACCAGGTTTTATTCAAGAGAAGCTGAAATCCTCTTCAAAACCATCTGGAAAAGCAATATCCAATGCAGGTGAACAGTGATTTATGTTCTGTGTAGTAATAGACTTCTCGACCATTTAAGTCCTGCGTAGGACGGAAATTGTTCTCCATTGGTCTGTTATCTTTAATAGTAGTAAAATATAGTGAGGTTCTCATTATGTTAGCCTGGAAGAAGGGAGGGAGAAAAACCAATGGCAGAGAGGAGAGGAGAGGAGAGGAGAGGAGAGGAGAGGAGAGGAGAGGAGAAGAGACAGCAAAAAGTGAAAAATTACTTCATCCATCCAGAACTCAGATTTTTTAATATCTTAAGTAAGGATATCTGACTTTCAGCCCAGAGAACATTCTATTTTCTGAAATTACAACCAGTCAATTTTCTGCTGTTTCAGACAAGAAACGTGGAAACAAAGTAGTCCTCAACTTACAACCAAAACTAAGACCAGAATTTATGTTGCTAAGCAAGGCAGTTGTTAAGTGAACTTTGCCTGATTTTTATGAACTTGTTTCTTGACATAGTTGTTCAGTGAATCTTGCTTCCCTTCAATTTGCTTGTCCAAAGGTTATAAAAGGAGATCACGTGACCCCAGGACACTGCAATGGTCATAAATGCAAGTCAGTTGCCAAGGGTCTGAATTTTGATGACGTGACCCTGGGGATGCTGCAATGGCCATAAGTGTGAAAAACAGTCATTAGCAATAAGTCACTTTTTCCTGTGATGTTTTAACTTTGAATAAATCACTAAATGAACTATTGTAAGTCGAGGAACTACCTGCCTATTCTAAAAATAACATCTTGGGGCTTAAATGCACAATGTGATTGCATCTCAGCTGGCTTAAACATACAGGTAGACCTTGATTTACAACAGTTCATTTAGTGACCATTCAAAGTTAATTTATTACCATTTTTCACCCTTATGACCATTGCATCGCAGCTTCCCCATGGCCGCAGGATCAGATACACCTAACAACCATGTTACTAATTTAACGACTGCAACAATTTGCTTAACAACTGTGGCTAGAAAGGTCATAAAATGGGGCAAAACTCATTTAACAAATGTCTCACTTAATGACATCCATTTTGGGCTCAATTCTGGTCATAAATCGAGGATCCCCATAAATAGACCTGCAGGTGGCCCTCAACTTACGTTCACAATTGGGGCTGGAATTCTGGTCGTAAGTCATTGCAGACATAATTCAAAGCACCTATGTGACCAGTTCTATTTTGGAGGGGAGGGGGGGTCCTTTTTCACAATGCTGATTAAGCAAATTACTGTGGTCGTTAAGCAAATCCATTCTCCTGAATGGGCAGTTTTTGCCATAAACTGGCAAAAACATAACAAACCATGGGTCATGTGACCACGGGATCCTGCCACCAGTCCTAAATGTGAGCAGCTGATAAGCCCTTGAAATGTACTCATGTGACCTTGATGGGGTGGAAGCGTGGTTGTTTTGCAACATTTTACAATGCTTGGAAGTGCATTATAAGCCATAAAGCACTTTTCAGAGGCCATCATAACTTTGAATAGGCCATCATAATAACCTGTCATACGTTGAATGCTATCTGTACCCCCTTCAATGCTTCCCTGGCCCCCCACCTCAACCTCCATCAGCCTCTTGTTGCCGCATCTTATCTGCCTCTTAATAGGGCCAGCTCTATCAACACGGGATCAAAATTTGGACGCTTGGCAACTGACCCATATTTATGACGGCTGCAGTGTCCGTCCGTGGGGTCATGTGATTGCCTTGGTGGTGCAGCAGACTAAAGCACTGTTAAAGTAGCACCAGCTGCCTGCAATTACTGCAAGTTCAAATCTCACCAGGCTCAAGGTTGACTCAGCCTTCCATCCTTTCGAGGTAGGTAAAATGAGGACTCGGATTGTGGGGGCAATAAGCTTACTTTGTGTAAAAAAGAACAGCGCTTGGGAGGGGCCGAAAGCCCTACTAAGCAGGTATATACAAAAGTATGAAGGCTTTTGCTTAACGCATTGTAAGCCGCCCTGAGTCTCCGGAAAAGGGCGGCATATAAATCAAACCAATAAATAAATAAATAAATAAATAAATAAATAAATAAATAAATAAATAAATTTTGCAACCTTCTAACAAGCAAGGTCAATGGAGAAATCAGATTCACTTAACATCCCTGTTACTAACTTAACAACTGCTGTGATTCACTTAACAAATGTGGCAAGGAAAGTCGTAAAATGGGACAAAGGTCACTTAACAAATGCCTCACTTAGCAACATAAATTTGGGGCTCAATTGTAGTCGTAAAGTTGAGGACTACTTGTAGCAACTGTGTCCTAATCCATAGAGGTTTTGCGACCTACTCAGGAATCTGAGCATTGGAGGATCAACTGACTCTAATAAGGGCCAATCCAGGGGTGAAATCCAGCAGGTTCTGACAGGTTCTGGAGAAACGGTAGCGGAAATTTGAGTAGTTTGGAGAACCGGCAAATACCACCTCTGGCTGGCCCCAGAGTAGGGTGGGAATGGAGATTTTGCAATATCCTTCTCCCAGGAGTGGGGAGGGAATGGGGATTTTGCAGTATCCTTCCCCTGCCACGCCCACCAAGCCACACCCACCAAGCCACACCACGCCCACAGAACCGGTAGTTAAAAAAAAAAATGAATTTCACCACTGGGCCAATCTATTTTCAGAGAGCCTTAGAATCCATTCCTGAAAACTGAGATGAATCAGATCTTATCCACTCACCACTTGGTATGAAAGGTAAATGGGGTATGGAAACACAATCCAGTCCACAGCCTCGGCACAGGGTGGAGAAGTGAGAGAGCCTGAATAGCGGTAATAGTGGCTAAAATCTGCTGTGTGCAATAAACCACCCATAGAGAATTCCCCTTTCACATCATAAGAGTCATCTGTAAAACCAGAAAAAGAGACAGGTATAGCATCACCTCATTTTTAATTTAGGGAAGTGGCTGTGGTGGTGGTGGGAGTGAATTAAGACTCACCTTTCTCTGGGATTTCCTTGAAAAGCCTGGCTAGAGTGTCCCATGGAGTGACTTGTTTATGCTCTTTGTCTACCTGTGGGAAATTGAAAGAAAATAATATATGGTCTCCTGTGCATATACTAATAAACTGTATGTACACCATAGTTGGTGGGGTGCAGGAAATACAGATAGTCTTCAACTTATGGCCACAATTGAGCCCAAAATTTATGTTGTTAAGTGAATCAAATTGTTAAGTGATTTTTGCCCCATTTTGCCTCAGTTGTTAAGTGAGTCACTGCAGTTGATAAGTTAGCGACGCAGTTGTGAAGTGAATCTGTCTTCCCCATGGACTTTGCTGGTCAGAAGCTTGCAAAAGGGGATCAGGACACAGCAACGGTCCTAAATATGAACCGGTTGCCAAGCAACTGATCACCTGATCATGGGGATGCTGGAAAGGTCGTAGCTGTGAAACGCAGTCATAAGTCACTTTTTTCGGTGCCGTTGTAACTTTCAATAGCCACTAAACAAACTGTTGTAAGTCGAGGACTACCTGTAATGGCTTAGCTTGCCAAATAGTCTCTAAAGTGGAGATGCTAGCTTATAGAGAATATAGCATGAACATACTTGGGGCAAAAGCGGGTTACAGTTGCATTTATGTCTATATAGAGTCTCTGACTTACAACCATTCATTTACTGACCAATCAATCAATCAGAATAGAGCTGGAAGGGACCTTGGAGATCTTCTAGTCCAACCCCCTGCTCAAGCAGGAGACCCTATACACTATACACCCTATATACTGACAATGGCACTGAAAAAAGGTGACTTATGAACTATTTGCACATTTACAACCATCACAGCATACCTATGGTCATGTGATCGAAATTTGGGCGCTGGGTAACTGGCATGTATTTAGGGTCATGTGATCACCATTTGCAAGCTTCCCAGCTGGCTTCTGACAAGCGAAGTCCAAGGAAGAAGCAGACTTGTTTAATGACCACATGATTCCTTTAACAACTACAGTAATTTGCTCAACAACCATAAACTGAGGTATGACTCACTTAACAACTGCCTTGCTTAGTGGTGGAAATTTGGGGGTGGGGAGCATATTATGGTCGTAAGTTGAGGACAACCTGTAATGTGAGAATGACATTGGGAAACAGAAGAGAGAGCCAGAGATTGGACAAGCGTCACGTCAAAGATATCTCAACCCTTGGAAGGACGGAGGACATAGGAAGCTTTTCGAAAAAGACCTTCCCTAGTTTTCCAGAGAGTAAAAGGAGGGGAGGGGTGCCATATGTTCAGTCTTGCAAGATTCTGTTAATGTAACCTTACAAGAGGTTGTACTCATTGCTATGCTTCTTGTCTGGACTACCTCGCAGGGGTGACCCACATATTATAATTGTCAATGTGTGTTCAAATTAACCAACACAATCCTTTCTATTTGTAGGGAACGTGATATGGGAACAACTAAAGCTGGTATCCTGATCTTTACATACTTTATCTCACCCAAATCGGTTCTATGAAAGATTTAAAATCATGATGGGCAGCAGAGACAGTAACTAGGAGCCCATACAAATTAACATAGAAAATTATGTGGCACAAAAATTAAAAGCCTTCGACAATTTAAAATTGAGTTTTCTTATTTTACAATTAGAAAATATGAAATTTGGAGACAAATTTGTAAAGATGGTGGAAAAAATATACTCAACCCAAACGGCAAAGATAGCAATAAATGGAGATACTACCAAACAATACATAATATCAAAATGAGCGAGACAGGGATGTCCTCTAACCCTCTTATCATTTATCTTAACATTAAAGATATTGTTAAATAAAATCAGAAGTGAAAACGAAATAAAAGGTCTGAAAATAAAAAAAGAGGAATATCTAGTCCAAGCCTTTGCTGATGACCTGGTCTTCATTTTAGAACAACCAATACTGACAGGACTCAAATTATTAATGCAAATAGAAGAATATGGAAAAGTAGCGGGACTTAAAATTAATAAACTCAAAACAAAGGTATTAACAAAAAACCTCGCCAAGCAGCAGGAGAAAAAATTAGCAGACAAAATGGGTATCCAAACGAGAAAAACAAAACAAAACGTAGCAATATGGTTAACAAATAAAGGCGCTCGTCAATCAAAGAAGACAACTATAATAAATTAATACTACAGATAAAGAAAGAATTGGAAATTTGGAGTAAATTACAATTATCCTTTTTAGGAAAAATAGCATTGATTAAAATGAACAATCAATCTATTGTTCAATACTATTCTTATTCCAAGTAGTACCCATAAAATTAGGTAAAAACTTTTTTAAAGTTTAAATAAGTTAAACTTTTAATTTTAAAAGCTATTAAATAAATTAATAGCGAATTATATTTGGCAGGGAAAAAAATCAAGAATTAAAATACAATCACTGCAAGATAGTAGAGAAAGAGGAGGATTTGGTCTCCCAGATTGGAAAACTTACTATAAAGCAACATCACTTATATGGATCAAAGACTGGATGAAATTAAGAAACAAAAGAATGTTAACATTAGAGGGATACGATTTACAGAGAGGGTGGCATGCCTTTTTATGGGAAGGAAAAAATAGACAACATAGCTATTTTCAACAACATTTAACCAGAGATGCACTACTACAAACATGACAAGGGATAAAAAAGAATCACTATGATAAAATTCCAGAATGGTTATCCACAATAGAGGCACAAATTTACCCAAATATATTGGACATTGATAAAACATTAAATAGCCAAGGGGAACTGAAAACAAGGCAGGAATTAAAAGAACAGGATACAGACATTGATTGGTGGCCTTACATGCAAATAAAATCTAGATATAAGACATGGATTCCAAAGAGAAGTACATGAATTAGATTAAATCCTCCAAGGCACAGAAGATAAATTGATTTAAAAAATTATAATTATCTATTAAGATACAAATTGGAAGAGGAGGTAGTTAAGGAAAATATGATAATTTGGGTGAAAAATTTCGGATATAACATTGAATTGGACAAATGGGAGAAATTATGGAACAAAAATTATAAACTGACAATGTCTGTATCCTATAAAGAAAACATGTACAAAATGTTTTATAGGTGGCACTTGCCACCAGCCAGACGGGCAAAGTTGTTTCCCAATACTTCACCAACGTGCTGGAAATGCAAACAGCAAAAGGGAATGTATTACCACATTTGGTGGTCCTGTCACAAAGCAAAACAATATTGGAGTAAAATTAGATCACAATTAGAAGAGATAACTAAACAACATATAGAGATGAGGCGAGAAATATTTTTATTAGAAATACTCCCAGGGTCATATAAAAAAGAAATACAATATTTAATTATTCATATTATCACAGCAGCAAGAATAATCTATGCACAGAATTGGAAAATCAATATATCAACCGAAGATAATTTGATCAGAAAAGTTTTGGAATGTGTAGAAATGGACAAATTTACAAAGGAGATTCAAGAAAAAGAGGAAACAGAATATTACTTAGTGTAGGAGAAATGGTATGAATGGCTGGAGGAGAGAGATAAAAGGCAAGGAAAGATCAAATAATGGTCAAAATAGGAGTAGAAGTACAATAACAAATATGGGGGAAAAAACCTGTAGAAATGAAATTGTGTACACGGTTATTTATATGTATATATGTAAATAAATAAATTAACATTAGAAGTGTATGTACAAAAGATACATTAGAATAAGGGAGAAAAAATGTATGGGTAAGAAATCCTTTACCGGTACGAACCTGTTGAAAAGGAAAAATTGTTAAAGCTTTCTTTTTATTTTTTAAAAAAATGTTTAATACTTTTTTTAAAAAAGAAAATTATGTGGCATGCCATGACATGCCTAAAGAACAGACAGACTTTTAGAAACTTAGAATAACAAAGTTGGAAGGGACCTTGGAGGTCTTCTAGTCCAACCCCCTGCTCAGGCAGGAAACCCTATCATACCATTTCAGACAAACAGGTGCCCAATGTCTTCTTAAAAACTTCCAGTGTATTCACAACGTCTGGAGGCAAGTTGTTCCACTGATTAATTGTTCTAACTGTCAGGAAGTTTCTCCTTAGAGAAGTTGCTTCTCTCTTTGATTAGTTTCCACCCATTGCTTCTTGTCCTGCCCTCAGGTACTCTGGAGAATAGCTTGACTCCCTCTTCTTTGTGGCAAGCCCTGAGATATTGGAACACTGCTATTATGTCACCCCTGGTCTTTTTCTTCACTAGACTAGCCATGCCTAGTTCCTGCAACCGTTCTTCATATATTTTATCCTCCAGTCCCCGAATCATCTTTGTCTCTCTTTTCTGCACTCTTTCTAGAGTCTCAACATCTTTTTTTCTTTGTGGTGACCAAAACTGGATGCAGTATTCCAAGTGTGGGCTTACCAAGGCATTATAAAGTGATATGAATACTTCATATTATCTTGATTCTATCCCTCTGTTAATGCAGCCAGGAAGTGTGTTGGGGTTTTTTGGCAGTTGCAGCGCACTGCCAGCTCATATTTAAATGGTTGTCCACTAGGACTCCAAGATCCCTCCCACAGTTACTATTATTGTCTTAGCAGATACACCAAGTTGACTCAATTTATAATTTACTGTTTATTAAAAAAAAAATTATATGTATATGAAATCTTAATCTGTTCACTACCCTGAGTCCTTCGGGAGAAGGGCGGTATAGAAATTCAATCAATCAATCAATCAATCAATCAATCAATCAATCAATAAATAAATAAATATTATTGAGCCAGATGCCAGCTATACTATACCCGTGCTTTTGGTTTTTCTTGCCTAAATGCAGAACCTTGTTTTTTTCACCATTGAATTTCATTTCTTCATATATAAAGAACGCCCAGTGTTTAAGTCTGTCGAGATCCTTCTGTATCTTAAGCCTGTCTTCGGGAATGCTGGCTATTCCTGCCAACTTGGTGTCCTCTGAAAGTTTGATGAGTTCCCCATCTATCCCCTTGTCTAAATTATTGATGAAGATATTGATCTTGAACCAATCCAGTCTTGGATTGGCTTTTCTCCTGGCCAACCATTCGCGTTGCTCACCTCTAATAAGAATGCCAGGACGACAAATCCATCAGACTGCTTCGATGCCTCTTCTATAGTCATGTTGTTTTTAGTATGAACCAAGTGCATCTGGTGCAAGAATGGAGAACGAGCATCAGCGGCAATATTTTAAATAGAGTGTAACAATACAGATAGTCCTCGACTTAACAACCATGTGTTTAGTGACCATTGGAAGTTACAATGGCACTGACAAAAATGACTTGTGACCGTTTGTCACACTTATGACCATTGTGGTATCCCACGGTCCCATTCTGAGGCTTGGCAACTGGCTCATATTTATGACGGTTGCAGTGTGCCGTGATGACATGATCACCTTTTGCATTCTTCTGACAAGCAAAATCAATGGGGAAGCCAGATTCATTTAACAGCTGTGGTACTAACTCAACAACTGTAGTGATTCAATTAACAGCTGTGGCAAGAAAGCAAATAAAATGGGGTAAAAGTCGCTTAACAACAGTCTCGCTTAGCAGTGGAAATTTTGGGCTCAGTTGTGATCATAAGTCAAGGGCTGTCTGTATAATACAGCTTTTCTCAACCCTGGCAATTTTAAGATGTATGGACTTCAACTCCCAGAATTCCCCAGTCAGTGATTCCTTCCTCCCCTCCACATATACATACAGAATCTCTAATGCTCAGTGATTGGCTACTTGTAGTTCCCATTTGTTCTCTTAAGATAACTCTGATCACAACAGTAGTTGTATTCCCTTTTTAAGAAGTAACCTATTCTGAAAGGACTTTGCACCTCCCATTACTGATTTTGACATCCTTACCCTGAGGACTATCAGCAACATATAAAATAGCTTATGAAAAAAGCTGCTGAAATAGAAATGCAAAAAGTTAAAGATTCTGGTTGCAGAATAGTAAAGTGATATTAGCTGGTCAAATAATCGGCACTATAGTTAGTCCAAAAGGTGCCTTTGAAAGAGGCAACTGGACTTTCTTTGTCTTTTCTTGAAGACATTTCACTTCTCATCAAAAAAGCTTCTTCAGTACTGACTGAATGGTGGGGAATGGAAGAGTTCATATTCCTTGCAATCATCTGGTCATTACTACTCTTTCTGGGAATTGTTGAATTGCCACTTTTCCACCATTCAGACAGAACTGAAGAAGCTTCTTAGATGAAAAGCAAAATGTCTTCAAAGAAAAACAAAAATGAAGTCCAGTTGTCAACCCCCAAAACATTGCCTCTTGAAAAAGCACCTTTGGGACAACCATGGCCTGGATGACTGAGAAGCTTCATAGACAGGCAAATAGTCCTTGACTTACAACCATTTGCTTTGTGACCATTCAAAGTTACAAAGTCACTGAAAACTGTAACTTACAACTGGTCTTTACACCTACAATCAACATCCACACGGTCACCTGATCAATATTTGGACACTTGGCAACCTGCATGTATTTACAACAGTTGGAGCATCCTGGAGTCACATGATCTCCATTCGTGACCTTCCAAGTTGACAAGCAAAGTCAATACAGGAAGTAGGATTCACTTAAAGACTGAAAAATTCACTTTACTGCAATGAATCATTTAACAACCGTGTCAAAAAAGGTCATCATATCAGGCAAGATCCACTTAACCATCTCCATGCTAGATGACATAAATTCTGATCTCAAATTGTGATTGTAAGTTGAGAACTACTTGTATTTTCTTACTATTAAGCCAAACATTCATCCAGGGGTTGGTTCTAAATTTTTTTACTACCAGTTCTGTGGGCGTGCCTTATTTTGTGGGTGTGGCTTGGAGGTCATGTGACTAGATGGGCGTGGCTAGCTGGTCAGAGTCATTTCTGGAAGGTCCTCGCACTTACGACCAGTCCTTGCACTTACGACCCGATTCATTTGTTTGCTTTTAACACTGATCAGCTGTAGGACGGCCCTTTGAAGCCCTGTGGCAAGAGTTTAAACAGGTTTTTTCCCTCTAGTCATCAGCTGGGACTCAGGAGGCAGCAATAGATTGGGGGTGGGACCAAATAAAAGGTAAGAATAACGTGGGTGGGTGGGGGAGAACCGGTTCGGTGATGTCATATCGTCACCGCTACCAGCTCGGCCGAACCGGACTGAACCAGGAGGAACCCACCACTGCATTCATCCCTTAGCAATTCCATTCTTGCCGGCATCCTGAATTTATTACCTCCATGGCATAGCGTTTGCCATCGATTGTGTGCTCTGCGCCATTGCTATTTTCGGTGCCCCAATGGAAGTGGCACTGCCACAGGTAATATTTTGCTGAAAATCCGGGACCAGAGATTGTTGCTTTGACCTCAAAATTTATTTGAGCTGCAACAGAGCGAAAAACAAAATTAAGAGCAATGATGGGTCTTTGACTAAGGAGCAAACTGGCATTAGTCCAATAGATGATTCGTAAATCAAATTAAGTGTTTAGGAAGGTAGGTGTCACACAATCCCAGAAAATCTCACTCTTAAATCTGTACAGATGATAGTAGATTTTAGGAGAAGCTCTCCTATTCTATAATATTAGACAACACAGTATAAACAGTAGAGAGCTCCACGTTTCTGGGTTCTATAATCTCCCAGGATTTAAAATGGATACCTAACATTAGAACCATCATTAAAAAGGCGCAACAAAGAATGTTCTTCCTGCATCAACTCAGAAAGCTCAGATTTGCCCAAGGATCTGCTGATACAGTTCTACAGAGGAATTATTGAGTCTGTCGTTTGTACACAGAAACCTTGCTTAGTGCATTTACTAAGGACTGGCAATTTATCCAGTTTTTCTATCTAAACATCCTTGTCTTGGGTTCCTTAAATGAAGGACTCTTTTAACAGATAAAGGTCCACCTGTTTGCTATTTTCCATGTATGGCAGTTCCACTTTTGTTTAGTAGACTCCGAGAGTTCACCTGCAATCTGAAGAAGATAAGATATGGCAGGAAAAGAGTTGATATTTAATAATGTTGTGACTATAGTCCACAGTAACTATGTGTCCCCTTGTTCAGTTTCTTCTAACCCAACTTTCATTTTATGTTGGGATAAAGAAAGACAAGTTGGTCTAGTAGTTAGATTGCCAGATAGAAAACGGGAGCTGCAACCCAGCTGAACTGCTATCGTTAGCAATATACCACTGTGATGTAGCACAAGGTTTTTTCAGCTTTGGCAACTACCAGATATCTAGGCCTGGATTTCCAGAATTCCACAGCTGGCAGGGCCATTGCTGAGAATTCTGGGAGTTGAAGTCCGTCAATCTGGAAATTGCCAAGGCTGGGAACCATTGGTGTCAAAAGTATTCTTCCAAGTGAACTTCTTATACATTTAGCAATAGATGGTCATCAATGAATACGTACCGTAATGCCCTGTATTCCATACTTTCTTGGCGATGTTAAGGTTTTCATACTCAGAGAAATATATGGATTCGAAATTAGATTTGTGTTTGGCTGCCTTGCTCTCGATGTTGATGGGAGATTGTTTCTTGCCACTGCAAGAGCCAATAGGCCCCCAGGTGTTAGGTCCTAGCAGAAAAAGAGTAAGGAGATGATTATATTCATCATATAATTTTTTTTTCTTTTTGCAGTTAGAACACTTTTTCAGAATTTGGCAAATGTATTTACTCAGTCAGTTTCCAGATAAAATTCAAGGTGTTGGCTTTGAACTTTAAAGCCCTTCATGGCTTGGGGCCAGGTTATTTGAAGGACCACTTCACTCTTATTCTTATTCTCTTCTCACCCACCTGGCCCACCAGGGCGGGATGGCAGGGCATGTTGCAGTCCCATTGATTAGGAATTGTCATTAGGAACTCATCAAATTTGCAGATGACACTAAGCTGGCAGGAATAGCCAATAGCTCAGGATCCAAAAACGTCTTGACAGACTTGAACAATATGAATTTTAATGTGGAGAAAACCAAGGTTTTACACCTGGGCAGGAAAAATCAAAGTTTAAAATATACATTAGGCGAAACCTGGCTCAATAACAGTAACTGTGAGAGGGACCTTGGAGTCCTAGTGGACGATCCCTTAAAAATGAGCCAGCAGTGTGTGGCAGCAGCCAAAAAAGCTAATACAATCCTTGATTGTATAAACAGATGCATAAAATCAAAATCACGTGAAGTATTTATACCGCTTTATAAAGCCTTAGTAAGAACACACCTGAAATACTGCATCCAGTTTTGGTCACCACATTACAAAAAAGATGTTTGAGACTTTGGAAAAAGTGCAGAGAAGAGCAACTAAGATGATCAAAGGCCTGGAGACTAAAACATATGAAGAATGGTTGCAGGACATGGATTTGGCTTGTCTAGAGAAAAGAAGGACTAGAGGGGACATGATAGCAGTGTTCCAATATTTGAGGGGCTGCCACAAAAAAAGTCAACTTATTTCCCAAAGCACCAGAAGGCAAGACAAGAAACAATGGATGGAAATTAATCAAGGAGAGAAGCAACCTGGAATTAAGGAGAAACTTCCAAATAGTGAAGACAATTAACCAGTGGAATAGTTTGCCTTCAGATATTATGGATGCTTCATCACTGGAGGTTTTTAAGAAGAGACTGGACAGTCACTTGTCTGAAATGGTATAGGACAGTGATGGCTAACATTTTTGCCATCGCGTGCCAGGAAGAGGGAGCGGGGGAGGTTTGCACATGTGCCCACACCCATAATTCTATGCACCCCACCCTGTGCATGTGCGCCCAACCCCCATTCCACCCCCCCACTCCAGGCACATGATGGCCCGATAGGCCCGTTTTTCTTTGTCACCTGGCTCCAGATCCTCTCTATGCATCTGGGGAGGGCGAAAACAGCCTTCCCCACATACCCCCAGGCCCTCCGGAGGCAGGAAACAGCCTGTTTCCCTACTTCTGGTGGGCCCAAAAGGCCTGAAAATCAGGTGGCCGGGGTGCGCATGTGCGCAAGAGCTGAGCTGGTGTGCCCACTGATATGGGTACGCGTGCCATAGGTTCGCCATCACGGGTATAGGATCTCCTGCTCAAGCAGAGGGCTGGACTCGAAGACCTCCAAGGTCCCTTTCAGTTCTTTTCTGATTCTGATCTGGTGGGACCACAAAAAGGGCCTTCACGGTGGTGGCTCCTTTTTTATGGAACATCATTCCCTCTGAGGTACAGTTGCCCCTTACCCTTGCTTTTCTAAAAGTCCCTAAAACATGGTTTTGTCAGCAGACCTGGAAACCACAAATGGAAATGGAGCTGATCAACTGGCTGATTTGATTGCATTGTTGCTGCCAGGGGGATGGGGTGGGTTTGGGGATTTATCGGTATTTATTATGTGGTGGAATTTTTAAATTTTGTACACCACCCAGAGTCACCTATCTATGAGTTGGGCAGCTACAGAGGTAGTCCTCGACTTACAACCACATATTGGAGTCCCAAATTTTTGTTGTTAAGCAGCACAGTTCTGCCCATTTTACCATCTTTCTTGCTCCAGTTGTTAAGTAAATTGCTGTAGATACACCGGAGTATAAGACGCACCTTAGTTTTTGGGGAGGAAAATAAGAAAAAAGCTGATTGGTGGGTGGATCAGCTTCCCGGAATACCCCCAATCAGCTGTTCCCAGAGGTGAATTTTAGCAACAGGTTCATTGGTTGTGAGCTCTGTGCCTTGCTTTTTTTTTGTTTTTGTTTTTTTTGTTTTTTTGCTTTTTTTTCTGCCTCTGAAACTTCTGAAACTCTGTTTCAGAAAAAACTTTTTTTCTTGCCTCTAAAAGCCTCCGAAACAGCTTCAGAAAGAAAAGCCTCTGAAGCTCTGTTTGGGGGCTTCTTTTTCTGAAGCTTCGTTTCTGATGCTTTTTTCAACCTCTGAAACCTCCATTTGAGAAACTGGGCGGGGCTGCATTTGTAGTATATGACGCACTCAGATTTTCACCCTCTTTTTTTGGGGAAAAAGGTGCATCTTATAGTCCGAAAAATACGGTAGGTTGTTAATTGAATCTGGCTTCCCCATTAACTTTACTTGTCAGTAGTAAGTAGTGAGTGAGAGAGAGAGAGAGAGAGAGAGAGAGAGAGAGAGAGAGAGAGAGAGATGCTAGCCTTTAACAAAATCTGAGATGTACACTTCTTCAAAGTGTCCTCCGTGGAGGAAGTAAGCAGTACATTAATTATAATAACAGCCAATGTTAAACTTAAGGTGGTCACTGATTCCATTAAAAACCCCTAGATTGGGGATGTCCAACCCTAGCAACTTTAAGACCTATGGACTTCAACTCCCAGAATTCCAGAACTCCCAGAGTTCTGGGAATTGAAGTCCACAAGTCTTAAAGTTGCCAAGGTCGGACAGCCCTACCAAGGGTGGGTTCTAAAAATTTTGAATACGGGTTCAGTGGGCATGGCTTATTTTGTGGGCGTGGCTTGATAGTCATGTGACAATTCTTTAGGATTTAGCAGAGGTACTAGTCTACCAGGCTTTTAACTGCTTGCAGAGCTGTACCGGTCTACTCATTTGTTTTTAGAGGCACCGGTCTACCACCACACTGCCTTTTAACACTGATCAGCTAATATTGGAAAAGGGTTGATGTGCCTACAATTCAAGAATGGACTTTGAAGATGGCCAATTTCGCAGAAATGGCGAAGATATCAGCATATTTAAAAGACCGGACACAAGAGAGTTATGTATGGGAGTGGAAGAATTGGATAGATTATGTGCAGAATAAATACCAAACTAGGAAGTATCAGATAGTTTTTAGCTAAATGTTGTGTAGAAATGTATAGTCTATAAGGGGTGAAATAGTTTATTGTGATGTAAAAATTTATAGTGCACAGGGAGGGGAATAGAGGGGGGGTAAAGTATGACATAATATAATGTGGATGGATTTCACCTTGGGGAAGTCATGGGGAGGGAGGGGTTGGGGGGGTTGGGGAGGGATGGTGGGGGGGGAAATGGGGAAAAAATTTGTTGTTTGTAAAACTTTTCCAATTAAAAAAAAAACACTGATCAGCTGTAGGGCGGCCCTTTGAAGCCCCGCGCCAAGAGTTTAAACAGTTTTTTTCCTTCTAGCTGATCAGCTGGGACTCAGGAGGCAGCAATAGATTGGGGGTGGGGCCAAATAAAAGGTAAGAATAATGCGGGGGGTGGGGGAGCGGGAGCGCCAGAACCGGTTCAGTGATGTCATATCGTCACCGCTACCGGCTCAGCAGAACTGGGCCGAACCGGGAGAAACCCACCACTGAGCCCTACCCTAAATGGATTGCTGAATTTGATTGAATTTGTCAATCTTCATTGATTTTCCTACAACGAGCATTGTGGTAACTCCAATAAGAAGTTTTCTGGAGTCAGAAAAAAAAACACAGCTTACCACATTTTGGGTCGTTATAGCACCAATGTTCTGCAAGATAGAAAAAGAAAAGGAAAATTAAATGGCTTTTTAAGGAAACATTGAAAGCAATAAATGCTAAAAGCATTGGTAAGGTATTTCTTGCATTCAGTAGCATTTGCAGGAACGTCAAAAAAAAAAAATCAAGATGACAACCCAGCCAGGCAATCAAAGCCCTGCCCCTTTTTATGTGTGGGCGTCATGTGTATAGTTATGGCCACAATCTTGACTTTTTTGACTCTTTCTAAAGACATTCCTGCTTTCATTCAACACCTAAACCAACTTTTTGGCATGCAAACGGATTGTCTAATCCTCTTCCTCACCAACTTTCCCAACCCCTCGCATATAGGAACTGAAGATATTGAGAAAACTCCTTTCCCCAAGATAAACATTACAGATGTTTAAAATGAAATTCCCCCCCCCCAAAAAAAGAACTATTGTCCTTGTTTAGATTTTAACTTCACAGATTCCCATAAAAAGAGGGAATGCTACTCATTTCTAATCACAGGTTCACTTGAAGGACTGACTCCTTCAAAGCAGGGGTCTCCAATCTTGGCAACTTTAAGACTTGTGGACTTCAATTCCCAGAATTCCTCAGCCAGCTTTGCTTAAAAGTCTTAAAGTCTTAAAATTGCCAAGGTTGGAGACCCCTGTTTCAAAGTACAGGTAGTCCTTGACTTACAACCATTTGTTTAGTGACCAAAGTTACAATGGCACTTAAAAAGTGACTAATGACCGTTTTTCACACTTACGATTGTTGTAGCATCCCCATGGTAATGTGATTAAACTTCAAATACTTGGCAACCGGCATGTATTTATAACCGGCATGTAGTGTCCCGAGGTCATGTGATCACGTTTTGCGACTTTCTGACAAGCAGAGTCAACTGGGAAGATACATTCACTTAACAACAGTTTTACTAACTTAACAACCTCAGTGATCACTTAACAACTTACCTGTAGTATAGCTTTGGTAACTGTAAACTCTTAATTTACAACTAGGACAGGGGTGGATTCTATTTACTTTTACTACCGGTTCGCATCATGCCCGCGCATGCACTGTTCACTTATGATGACGTCCAAGTCAGTGGGCGGAGCCTTCTGCTAGTTTTACTACCGGTTCTATAGAACCAGTCCAAACTAGGGGCAACCAACCACTGAACTAGGAGCAACTGACGCCAAATTTCTCTCCGTTACAGATGACGGGATTCAGATAATTTTCTAAAACTGGCCATTAAGGAGGTTGTCTCCCACTGGAAACTGAAATTGCAAATCCATATTCTAGGAAGGTCACATGGTAGAAAACGTACTACCAGTACTTACCATCAGAAGTAACACAGAAATTTTCCAGGATCAGGAAGATCAGAATGCATGCTGATAATTTCAACGGAAAACCAACACTTCCCATTGTACCTGCATAGAGGAAGCACGTCGTTAATAGATTACAGAGCCAATCTTTTTCTCCCACACGTAGTTTGTACAGCCTTGAGTAGGAGGTTGGATTAGAAGATCTCTGAGGTCCCTTCCAGTCTTATGATTTTATGTTCTATATTCTAAATTAAAAAAAGCTCTGAGCAGGTTACCAAACCAGTCAACTAAGGAGGCTAGCCTTCTGGAATCTAGCAATTCATGAGTTTCTCCCTGCTACTTACCTGCCCAAACAATAACTTGCATGATAACTATGCTAAACATTAATTAATTCCATTTCAAAGGAGGTAGACTTTTTTCAACACGTCACTCTCTCGACATCTCCAATTCCAATTTGCCTACAGGTTAAAATCCAACACACGTGGTCCTCGACGTACGACCACAACACAGCCCCAAATTTCCATTGTTAAGCAAGACGGTTGTTAAGTGAGTTTTGCCCAATTTTGCGAACTTCCATGCCACTGCTGTTAAGTGAATCTCTGCAGTTGTTAAGCTAGTAACCTGGTTGTTAAGTGAATCAGCTAGTAACTGCGTTACTAGTTTAACAACAGTGGCAAGAAAGGTCGCAAGATTGGGCAAAACAACAGTCTTCCTTGGCAACAAGAAATTGTGGGCTCAGCTGCGGTTGTAAGTCGAGGACTACTTGTATTGGAGTTTAACCTGTAGGCAAATTGGCTTCTGCTTGTCAGAATAGGTGATCACATGACCCCGAGACACTATGACTGTCATAAATATGAGTCAGTGTCATATTTTGACACAAGTGTCTGAATTTTGACCGCGTGACCGTGGGGATGCTGCAACGGTCATAAATGTGAAAAATTGTCATAAGTCACTTTTTTCAGTGCTGTTGTAACTAAACAAATGGTTGTTAAGGCTAACTGTGCTGCAAGACCACAGGTTGGGAAAGATTGCCATGTACATGTTAAAGAATCCCATTTATATATCTATTATATATTATTATATATCTCGTTGGCAGGACGGATCTGAGCATAGTGAATCCTTAAGCTAAAGGAAACTGCCGAAGCTGCATTTGGCAAGTGCAAAGAGTGCATAATGCCACATAAGAGCTGACGTTGGCAAGCCTGCTGCCAGGATGCATAATAAATCTCGATGGGTGGGGCAGGGCCTCTCAAAAGAGATGGTGTGAATGCTGCAGAAACATGGCCTGTTTTAAGCTGTCTATGGGGGCCCTTTAAATAGGCCTTTCTGTAGGCATTCAGGGAAGGCGTGGTCTATGGGAGGTTCTATATATGACAAGGGAGGCGGTGGCTCAGTGGCTAAGATGCTGAGCTTGTCGATCGAAAGATCAGCAGTTCAGCGGTTCGAATCCCTAATGCCGCGTAACGGGGTGAGCTCCCGTTACTTGTCCCAGCTTCTGCAAACTTAGCAGTTCGAAAGCACGTAAAAAATGCAAGTAGAAAAAGAGGGACCACCTTTGGTGGGAAGGTAACAGTGTTCCATGTGCCTTCGGCGTTGAGTCATGCTAGCCACATGACCACGGAGACGTTTTCGGACAGCACTGGCTCTTCGGCTTTGAAACGAAGATGAGCACCGCCCCCTAGAGTTGGGAACGACTAGCACATATGTGCGAGGGGAACATTTATCTTATATATGACAGTGTAGTAAAACTGCAGGACTTTAAAAACACTGACATTTTGAGAGCTCCCTTCAAATGGAAAGATGTAGACCGGGTGTCCACAAATGCTGGGCTGCAGCCTACTACCAGGCCGTGGCCTGTTCAAAACCGGACCGCGGGCGAAATGGGCAAGCGCACACACATGAAGCTGTACTCCTGTAAACACGTGCATATGTGCAAATCTCCACTCATGCGAGCAGAGGGTGCTTGCGTTTGTGCAGGAAGCTCCATTCATGCGAATGGAGCTTTGTGTGCAAGCACAAGTGGCCTGCCACTCGCTCTCGAAGCTCCATTTGCATGAGTGCAGGGCGCATGCACAAATGGAGCTGTGTGCGTGTGCTGGCCACTCACACAGACACACCCCGGCTGCCAAGCTGGAAAGATTGGGGACCGCTGTTCTAGATTGTCATTTGCATAGCTTACGCCTAATTCTGATGCTGCTCGAGGGTCAGTAGTAAAGCTTATCATGCACAGAAACAGCCTTACTCAATGGAGATTGGGAAACCTCCAAAGGCTGCTAATCTGATAAGAAGCTTGGAAGATACCACAGGCTCCCCAGACCAACCTCCTGCAGCAGGGCAGTTCTACATATCGGTTGACTGATTATAGATGTGATTTATAACCTGGCTTTCATACCGCAGCTCAACGTTGTGGCAGTGGTGCTCCTCTTCCACCTGTTTTCCTATATAACCACAACCTGGAATATAGGTTGGATTAAAAGGGAGAGACTGGCGTCTTGTCACTCACTGAGCTTCTGTGACTGAGAAGGAACTACAACCTGCATCTCCCTATTCCTACCTAAACCAGCCACCTGCACCACTACACTACCTTGGGTTCTAGCAAGTCTAGCCCAAAGTCACGTAGTGAGCTGTGAAGGCTGAGAATAAACTCAAACCTGGGTTTCTCTTTCCTAATCCCACCTCTGAAGAACCACTACATTATACATCTGCTTCCAAAAATCAAAGGGAATCAGCCCACCTACGATTCCCGACCCATCTTGCCACAAGGACATTCCGAGAAGTCCTTGAAAGCAAAGCAGGTTCCTCGCTGGAGACCAAGGAGAAGCCAGAAATTTGTGAGGGACTTCACATCAAGGTTGAAAAACACCTGGCTTCTCTTGGATTCAAACTCTACCTCTGGGAGGATTTCTCCCTGTTGCTTACCTGCTCCGCTTGGCTCTTTCTGGCGTTGAAGTCTTGGGGAACCACTTCTTTTCGGGAGTGTCTTTCTGTCTGAGGAAACACGGCTTTTATTAAGGGCTTGCTCCTCCCAGGCAGAAGGAAGCAGTGGGTAGGCAGGAAAATTAGACACACCTTCAGAAAAGAGGCATTGGACCATCCACCCAGGGACTTGCCTATTGGTAATTTTTGTTTGCCTATTTTTTCACACTGGGAGGAACTCACCTGCATAGCCAACCAATCAAATGGAATTAGCTGACCGATTGATCATCAGGCTTTGTGATTGGATGGCTGGCGTCCCGATCTTGAATCACGTTTAATTATGTAACAAGAATGACAGAGTTGGAAGGGACTTTGGAGGACTTCCAATCAAACCCCCTGCTCAATTGCTCTGTCTTTACCCATCTAAGGACCCCGAATGCAGGTACTCCTCGACTTAATAACAGTTCATTTAGTGACCATTCGAAGTTACGAAGGCACTGGGAAAAGCCTTCGTAACTTGCCTAGTGGCATTTTTCACACTTATGACCATTGCAGCATTCTCGTAGTCACGGGATTTACATTTGGATGCTTGACACCTCAGGTTCATATTTATGACGGTTGCAGCGTCCCGGGGTCACCTGATCCCTTTTTGTGACCTTCAGACAAGTGAAGTCAATGGAGAAGCCAAATTTGCTTAACCACCATTGTTATTAATTTAACAACTGCACTAATTCACTTAACAAACATAGCAAGGCAAGTCGTAAAACGGGGCAAAACTCGCTTAACAAATTTCTCACCTAGCCCCATAAATTCTGGGCTCAGTTGTGGTCATAAGTCGAGGACTACCTGTACAGAAGTGAGGTCAGTTGGGAATGCTGGAAGCTGTAGAACTGAGACATTTGGAGGGTTTCTGATTGGACACTTTCAGTAGAGGTAATCTTCGATTTATGACCACAATTGAGCCCAAAATTTCTGTTGTTAAGTGAGACAGTTGTTAAGTGAGTTTTGCCCTATTTTACGACTTGTCTTATCATGTTTGTTAAGTGAATCAATGCAGTTGTTAAATTAGTAACAACAGTGGTTAAGCGAATCTGATTCCCCACTGATTTTGCTTGTCAGAAGTTTGGAAAAAGTAATCACATTATCCGGGGCATTGCAACCGTCACAAATAGGAATCAGTTGCCAAGCGTCTGAATTTTGATCACGTAACTATGGGGGATGCTGCAATGGTCATAAGTGTGAAAAATGGTCTGAATAGAATAGAATAGAATAGAATAGAATAGAATAGAATAGAATAGAATAGAATAGAATAGAATAGAATAGAATAGAATTCTTTATTGGCCAAGTGTGATTGGACACACAAGGAATTTGTCTTCGGTGCATATGCTTTCAGTGTACATAAAAGGAAAAAAAAGAAAAAAATACATTCATCAAGAATCATAAGATACAACACTTAGTGATAGTCATAGGTTACTAATAAGCAATCAAATCATACTAGGAAACAAACAAGTCACTTTTTCTGGTGCCGTTGTAACTTCGAACGGTAACTAAATAAACTGACATAAGTCGAGGACTACCTGTATTTGCTGATTAAGGAACTAAGGAGAGAATAAAAATATCTCCCACCATTCCTTTTTCTTCCTGGATCTTCATTTCTAGTTAAAACCCAGAAACGGGGTTTTTATTTTGCTTGTATTTTTCTTGATAAAGGTAAAGGTTTCCCCTTTCCATTCATGCCTGACTCTAGAGAGCGATGTTCATCTCTGTTTCTTAGCCGAGGGAGCCAGCATTGCCCGAAGACGTTACCATGGTCATGTGGCCAGCCTGGCTATACGAGGCGTACAAAAAACTGTTATCTTCCCACCAAAGTGGTACCTATTTATCTATTCACATTTGCGTGCTTTTGAAATGCAAGAGTGGATAGAGCTGGAGCAAGAAATGGGAACTCACCCCATCAAGCAACACTCGGGTCTCAAACCCAGACTGTTAACTTTCTAGCTGACAAGCTCAGTGGCTTTGACCGCTGAGCCATCGTGCTCCCTCTTTTCCTTGATACTTAGAAATTTGACATTGATGATCAATGGAGCAGGTTCTTAGGCAACTTGAAGATGATTAGATTTCAACTCTCAGAATTCCACAGCCAAACTGAGATTAAGAGGTTACGGAAGGCAGAAGGGTGGGCAAATAGGCTGATCAGATTTGCAGGGGAGTATTTGAGGGACAAAATCCAAAAACCTTCTTATTGTAGGTAGTCCTCAATAAGGAGGACTTAACCGGTCGCTTAGCAATTGTTCAAAGTTATGATTGACCTTGAAAAAGGAACTTAAGACCCGGATTTGAAGTTCTGATATTTGTCACTTTCCCCCTTTGGGGTCACATGACTGTATTTTTGGCTCTCGGCAATGGCCTGCATTTACAGCCATTTGCAGTGCCCCGTGGTTATGTGGCAACAATTTGGTTTTCCTGGAAATCAAAGTTTACTTCGGTTTCTGGCAAAAAATGTTCCAAAGTGATCACTGGGTTCAGTTAATGATCATGGCGTTTGCTTAATGACCACAGTGTTCACTTAACAACTGCCACAAAAAAGGTCATAATTTGAGGATTATCTATACTTAATAAGAGTGCAGTCCAGGGAAATTTCCACAGCCAAAAGTTGCTTATAATACAACTATAATATTTTGGTTTAATTCCTTGAAGGGAGATCTTTCCTATCAGTTCAACCTCCTGTTCATTAAGGACCTATTTTGGGATTTTCTGGATTCAGTGGTGGGTTGCTACTGGTTCGCCCCGGTTCAGGCGAACCAGTAGCAGCAGCTGTGGGAGGCTCCGCCCACCTGCCTGGATGTCATCAAATACGCTCTGTGCATGTGCAGAAGTGGCGTGTGCGCAAGCAAAGCAGTAGCAAAGGTAAGGGAAACCCACCACTGTCTGGATTCCCCAGAAATTGAAAGGGCTTCCGTAAATTCCAGGCGTAGCCTTTTTCCCTTTGCTTTTTTTGAGCATTTGAGAATCAGCAGAAATTCTAACGTTGTTCACTTAAATCAAGAATGGAACACCGAAACCTCAGGGCATCAGCCACAAAGCGTATTTACTACTCTTCTTTAATTTCTCGGAGTTTATAAGAAGAAACCTGCAATTCCTGCCTTTCTTTCTCGCACAATAAATCATGGATAGGAGAGTAGCTCTATTCTGATATGAAATGCTGGTGAAGTGCTTGGCAAACAGCCAAACTTATGAGCCATGATAATTATTGGGGATCGGTTTTTTAACGCCAAGACGTAGATGCTGGAATCGATGCTTTATGTGCATCGATTCACTCTGGCATCTTCCAAGGAAGGTATCCTCTCTACAGTGTCTTTCCACAGATGCCAAGAAAAGCATAATTTCAGGTTAGGTAATGCAGCCTCTTCCGAAACCGAATCATATTATTTATCAGTCTCTAAACTGAAGCTATTAAATTTAAGCCATGTCCTCACTTGCACTAAAAGGGACATGGTGGCTCAGTGGCTAAGACGCTGAGCTTGTCAATCGAAAGGTCGGCAGTTCAGCGATTCGAATCCCTAGTGCTGCATAACGGGGTGAGCTCCCGTTACATGTCCCAGCTTCTGCCAACCTAGCAGGTCAAAAGCACGTAAAAATGCAAGAAGAAAAATAGGGACCACCTTTGGTGGGAAGGTAACAGCGTTCCGTGCGCCTTTGACTTTTAGTCATGCCGGCCACATGACCACGGAGATGTCTTCGGACATCGCTGGCTCTTCAGCTTTGAAACGGAGATGAGCACCGCCCCCTAGAGTCAGGAACGACTAGCACATATGTGCGAGGGGAAGCTTTACCTTTACACTTGCACTGAATCAGGAAATGTATTTTTTCTGTGAAGTTTCCATGACGTAACCATCAACTTGTTCCTAGCTAGGATGAGATGAAGCTGCCCTTAGATCTTTCGGTTTCGAAGTGGTATACAGGTAAGTCCTTAAATGACAGCAGTTCACTTAGTGACCGATTGAACTTACAACAGAGCTGAAAATAGTGACTTATGATCATTTTTCCTACTTGTGACTGTGGCAGCATCTCCATGGTCACATGATCAAAAATTCAGACACTTGGCAACTGGCTCGTATTTATGACGGTTGCCATGTCCTGGGGTCATGCAAATCCTCTTTTCTGACCTTCTGACAAGCAAAATCAATGGGGAAACCAGCTTCACTTAACAACCATGTTACTAGCTTAACAACCGCAGTGATTCACTTAACAACTGTAGCAAGAAAGGCCATAAAATGGGCAAAATTCACAACCCTCTTGCTTAGCAACAGAAATTTTGGGCTCAATTGTGGTCGTAAATTGAGGACTACTTGTATTCCCTCTCAAACCAGCAGCATCCCAACCTCTCAAATACTGGAATACTGCTATCATATCACCCCTAGTCCTTCTTTTTTGTGCACTAGCCAAACCCAAATCCTGCAACCGTTCTTCATATGTTTTAGTCTCCAGGCCTTTAATCATCTTAGTTGCTCTTCTCTGCACTTTTTCCAAAGTCTCAAACATCTTTTTTGTAATGTGATGACCAAAACTGGATGCAGTATTCCAGGTGTGGCCTTACTAAGGCTTTATAAAGCAGTACTAATACTTCACATGATTTTGATTCTATGTCTCTGTTTATACAACCAAGAATTGTATTAGCTTTTTTTGGCTGCTGCCACAGATTGCTGGCTCATTTTTAAGGGATCATCCACTAGGACTCCAAGGTCCCTCTCACAGTTACCGTTATTGAGCCAGGTTTCGCCTAATGTATATTTTAAACTTTGGTTTTACCTGCCCAGGTGTAAAACCTTGCTTTTCTCCACATTAAAATTCATGTTGTTGGATCATAGGGCTCATTGTTCAAGTCTGTCAAGATCTTTTTTGTTCCTGAGCTTGTCTTCTGGGGTGTTGGCTATTCCTGGCAGCCTAGTTTCATCTGTAGATTTGATGAGTTCCCCTTCTATTCCCTCATCTAAGTCATTTATGAAGATATTGAAGAGTACTGGGCCTAAGACGGAACCATGTGGTACCCTATTGCTTATTTCCCTCCATGA